TAGAACCCCTGGACTCAAGCAATCCTCCTGCCTAGGTCTCCATAAGTGCTGGCATTACAGGCATGAGCCACTGCACCCGGCCCCAGATGAATGATTTCTAGACATTATTCATATCTAGAGTCATACAACTATGTTTTCAAAACCTTTGGAATCTAAAATGGTAAATAATGATGTGACACTAGATAAGCAGAGAGTATGTTTTAAATATAAAGGTTCCATACCACCAGCATGTATAAAAGGATGGCTTTCTACCATCTAAAGCAGCTGCCATAGCCTTAGAGCAACAGAGAAGTGTTTTCCAGCCAGTTCTCAACCAGAAGCCTAGGAGGCCTAAAATGCCTCTACACCCAAGGCTTCTGCAGACTTTTTCTATTTACCAAGTATGGTGGCAGAAGATCACATTCAAAGTGGGGGGAAAGCCTCATCTAGAGATACCATATTTCATGCATTTGAGTAATAGTGACAATCGTTAATATTTAATGAGGGCTTACTACAAAGCCAGCCACTAATTCCAGAAATTATTTAATCCTCATAATAAATACATGAAGGAGGTGCTGTTATACTCCATTTTATAAGAATAAACGGAGTCTTAGAAAAGTTTAACAAGTTGCCTACTGTCATGTAGCTAGTAAACTGCAAAGCTAAGCTTTTAATTAACAGTTGATCCCAGAGACCCTAAGTCTTAACCATTAGCCAGGGAAGATAAATATACCTAAAAAGGGGAAATGGTAAATATTGAGCTCTGGTAACTTTTTCAGGCATTTTAGAAATAGTTCATTTAATTCTAATTTTAAAATATATTTTGTAAAAGGAAACCAAGACTCCGAGAGATTAAGTATCTACCCAAATCTGCAAAGCCAGCAAGGGCAAAACTATTATTATTTATACTACATCACGCCACCTCCCTGAAGCTTAAAGACCCAACTGAATGGCAGATATAGAAGCAGAAATCTATTTTGGTGTCATTATAAGACAGTGACTGGTAGACACTATCTGGCAGGGACCCCGATAGGACACAGAAGAAAATCTGTAGACCACTAAACTAGTATAACTGAAGAGGATGAGGATCTGAACTGCAGTGATGAAGTAGTTCATTCTATTTCTAACTACCACTTTATTTTCTTTATGAAATCTTGAGTTAAGTTTACAGTGGTTCTCATGTAGAAGCAGTACCCTCCTCCAAAAGATATCTGGAAAAGTGAGAGGGCAGTTAGTTGTCCTCCCGACATGTCCTATTGGCATTTAGTGGGCATGGGGTAGGATTGCTAAGCACCTTGCAATGCTGTGTCTGTACAACAAAGCATTATCCCACCAAAAAAACCTGTACTGCTTCTCCAACATTAAGGGACACTTAAGTAAACATTTTAGGTGGTGTTAAGAAATAAAATATACAATCAACATTTGTTGTCAGGATCCTGGTGCCCTAAGTGGACAGAGGAAGTAAGTAGAGACCATTATAGTCAGGTTCCTAAACAAAGTGCATTACTGTTTTAGATGCTACTGTTTTAGATCTTCTGTTTTAGATCTTATATACAGAGAGCTATAAAGTATTTCTATTAACAATATGGAAAATATGTGAGACCCAAACTTTGAAGATTCAAAAAAAAAAAAAAAAAAACCTCAGTCTTCATAGTTTAGCCTAAAGAGGAATTTCTACTTATAAGGTAGTTATGAACAGTATAATAGTAACTAACCTATTGATCTTATACTAACCTCATTAATTCATTCAGTCATCCCTTCACAGATAGTTAAGTGTCTATCATGCTGGTCACTGTTCTATTAGCTGGGAACTCAGTAGTGAACAAAACAGGAACACTTCCACCACCTATGGAATTTTCACTCTAGTGTATTTGTTTACCTACTAAACACATGAATACACACATAATATAATTGCAGTAAGTGATAGGCACTATGAGGAAAAGATAAGACAGGAAACTGGATAGAGGCTAAAGGAAGATATATATAAATATTTGTGACAATGCTCAGGGACAGAGGTGATCTTTGAACAGAGCCCTAAGTGATGTTGAGTATAACAACCATGCAAAAATTTGTAGAAAAAGTATTACTGGCAGAGACAAGGTCAAGGTCAAAGCTAATAGAGAAAACAAAACCAACATATTGAAGAAACAATAATACAGTGAGCGTAACTGAAATAGAATGAGCATGAATGACTGGTGGGATAACATCAGAGAGATCAGCAGAAGCCAGGATGTGCAGGGATTTGTGGGTCTTGATAAGGAGCTTCATCTCCTGCCTAATATGGTAGAATTCGGAAGGTTTTGGGAGAAGTAAATGATTTGATTTTTTAAAAAATGAATAGTTAGAGAAGTTAGAAGAGAAAACTGAGAACTAAAATAGCATCCCATGTAATAATTAAGACTGTAACGAGGCACACAAAGGCATATATAGCACTACCTGTATTAAATTGCCTGACTCAGGGATTGCTGATTAAGCAAAGTTAACTGACTTTACTTAAAAGTACTTGGGCCCAAAACATTCCTGCACAAACTTCTATCATTCTATTTCAGGCAGACCAAGTCATTAATTTCTCTCTCAATATAACAATGTAAAGTATCTTACCAGCCGGGCTCGGTGGCTCAGCCTGTAATCCGCGCCTTGGGGAGGCTGAGGTGAGTGGATTGCCTGAGCCTGTGGGTTCAAGACCCGCCTGGGCAACTTGGCAAGACCTCATCTCTACAACAAATCAAAAAATTAGCTGGGCGTGGTAATTCACGCCTGTAGTTCCAGCTCCTTGGAAGGCTGAGGCGGAAAGATCGCCGGAGCCCAGCAGGTCGAGGCTGCGGTGGCCGGGAGCGGCCACTGCACTCCAGTCTGGGTGACAGAATGAGACTCCGACTCAAAAACAAAAAAATTAAATAAAATAAAATAAAGTATCTTACCATCTACATACTCTTTAAACTTAAAATCAAACCATTATCTTTAATGTCGACACATCTAGAAACAAGTCTATATAAACTAACTTTAAAGTAGTCTCTGTTGACTTTAGCTAACTGAAATAAACACATAGGGAAAAACAAAGTTCCCCAAATAGTCACACTAGAAATGAGAATACTTTGGAAGCTATTAAAAAAATGCTCCTATTCCAAATATAATTGATTAGAAAGGTACAAAACTTTAGAAAGGTAAAAGCAGCTCCAAACAAATGAGGCAATTAGTAAAAATGTGTTAAAATAATCAAGTTTAGAGGAGCAATACTGACACTATTGTGCAGTTATCCTCAGATGTCCTATTTGACAGTCACCCTGGTTTAGTTTATTTGGCACCTCTTGGTCTCTAATAAGATCTTGTTGGCCCATTTATCTAATCAAATTATAATTATTATTAGCCAACATTACTGAGCACCCGCTGGGTGTGTGTTAGGAGCCAGGAATATAACTCTTTGCTGTCAGTTTTAAGAGACTAGCTACGAGCAAAAAAATAATAACCAACAATACAAGAATACATGCTGCTGGGTATTAAACTGAATGCACCTGCAGTATCTGACAGACTGAAGGGGGGTTGGGAGGTGGCGGAGGTGGGGGCTGGGGGATGGGGAGGGAGCAGAGGGACTTTTAGATAGGTCACGTGACTTCAACCCAACCCTCATCATTAATCATTTATAATGCGAAGGTGCCAAATAAATTATCAGGTCAGTAAACATGAAAGAGTTCAGAAGACCAGATAACTAGATAGGTTCAATAAGGATTTTGGTTATTAGACTTCAAGAGAATCTTTCAGGAAAGGTTAAGACTCACATATGCAAACAACTAATTATTGTTTTGATGACTTAAAAGAATTTTACATTTTTTCATAAATATTTGGGAACTTTGGGGTGGAGGTCTCATAAAAACATGACTGGGAAAGAATCACTGACGGGCACTACTGAATAGAGAAACTCAGAGCTCTCACTCATAAGCGGACCCTGAACATTTACCATAATACTGTAAGAAAAGGATTGGCAGTAGCTGGAAACTGTTGGAGGCGGAGGGTGACACATAACATCAGGAAGGGTACCTGATCTCAAACCAGGCGAAGTGGAGACCAAAGGGAGGCCCAAACTTTACCTGTACGATGACCACTTGTATACCTAATCCTGAATTGTACCCCACATCTTTAAAATTAAAAATAATGATAAGGCCGGGTGCAGTGGCTCGAGCCTGTAATCCCAGCACTTTCAGGGGCCGAGGTGAGGGGACTGCCTGAGACCACGGTTGGAGAACAGCCTGGGCAACTTGGCGAGACCTCGTCTCTACAACAAATCAAAAATTCGCCTAGCGTGGTAGCACGTGCCTGTAGTTCGGGCTACTTGGAAGGCTGAGGCGGTAGGATCACCTGAGCCCAGCGGTTGGACGCTGAGATTGCCGAGAGCGTGCCACTGAACTTCAGCCTGGGCCACGTAGTGAGACTCCGACACACTAATAATAATCATCATCATCATCATCATCATCATCATCATCATCATTAATCTAAAACCAGCTTTTCCAAACTGCTTTGCACGCACGGTTTTAGCATTTTACAAGATGCCTAATTCGACGCGCTTTAGGCCCCATTTAAAAAAATGAACATAAGTCACGAGGCACATTTGGAAGACGGTGGGAGAGACCTCCCAGCTTCAGATGGGCTGGAAGCCGCCGGCTTAGCGCATCCCCAACAGATGGCTCTCCTCGGGGTCTCTTCCCCCCGCCGTCATGTCATTTCGATCGAAGAAAAAGACATAATTACTCGTGCGTTCTGAACCCTTGAAGAAGGTAGAAGGCCCTCGCTGTCGCTTCTTTGCTTTCCTTTTAAGGAGCTTTATCTTCGAACGGGCCGTTCGCCTTACTGCGAAGCGTGTGGCGGAGCTGGGAAGCCGCCCGAGCTAGCCCCCGCTAGGCTCCGCCAGAGCGTGCCCGACACGCCCTCAGCCAGTGACAGGGGAGCGCGCAGATGCATCATAGCGGGTCGTCGGCGCGGGGATTGTGGGAAATGTAGTTCAGCGACGCCGCCCTCCTCGCCATTCCTGTAATGGCTGCTTCCCGGAAGGTAACGTACGAACTCTTCTCCAAAGGATACGTAGATGGCCCCAGTGTGTTTGTGAAACAGGGGCAGATTTGGACTTTGCCGAACCAAAGTAGGGGTTCTTTTTCAAATCTGAATACCAAGTCCTGGAATGAACTCGTCTCTCGATTCGGTTTATTTTTGACTTTCTCTGTGTGGGTGAACCGACCAACTTTTAAGTCTAGTTCCTCCTTGGACAAACTGTTTTCTGTTCTCAGTACCTATTCCTCTTCCTTACATACGGCCGTCCTGCTCTGCACTGTCTCTAGCTGCCTCTTTAAAATAACAATTATTATTATTAATTTTTAAACCCCCCCCCCCCAACTATAAAACAGGCAGTGTCACGTGGAACTTCTTAGCCTCAGCATCGGGAGCCCCAGGAAGGGAAAAATTTCAAGTCGGATAGAAAATATATATATACCGTTTTTTTGGTAAGTCTAATTAATTCCCCGCAACTTTACAGAGTTATATGCTGTGTAACTTTTGCCAGATTTGTCTGCATTTCCTGGATGAGAGAGACCCTAAGAAAATAATTTTTACCCACTAGGATATTTCAAGTTTCCAAGTGAGTGTCTTTTGCATTTATTTTCTGTTTATTCTTAAGTATGTACTCCCGTTTAGTTTCTGTTTGGTTGATGATCATGGTGTTGCTGTTCCTGTGGAAAATTGCTGGAGTTAAAGTGGTATCATGAGATAGGGACCCTCAAATGACTGTCTTTGTGTACCTTTTAATTCCCTCCAGGTTTTTTGTTTGTTTGTTTGTGGGGGCTATAAAATGAGATGGATCTGAAACAGTTCATAGTCCTAAAAGTTTGGGTGGCCTGTTATTTGTCATGTATTCATATTGTCATTTGAAAAGGGAGGAAATTTTAATGGTTCCATTTTGTTTCCATGTTTAATTTCTAGGAAACTTCAGCCCTCAAGATCCCAACATCATGACCTCAGTTTCAACACAATTGCTCTTAGTCCTCATTTCACTGCTTGTGGTGCTGCCGGTTGTTGAAGCAGTAGAAGCCGGAGATGCAATTGCTCTCTTGTTAGGTGTGGTTCTCAGCATTACAGGCATTTGTGCTTGCCTGGGGGTATATGCACGAAAGAGAAATGGACAGATATGACTTTGAAGGGCTTCCTGAATCAAACCTCACCCTGAAAACCTTTGTGCTATTGAGGATAAACCTGAGATGTGGTGTCTGAAAGTTTCCAAGAATCAATAAATAGGGAAGCTTTACCATTCTTGTTTCCATTAAAAATGGGAACAAATTGATAGAGAAATGGGAAATTAAATGTTTGCTTTACAGCAAATAATGCACTGAAAAATGCAGCCTATAATTTGTTTTTTGCTGATAGGAAAGGAGGTCAATGAAATAAGATGGCTAAAATTTACATAAGTAATATTTCATAGTTTTAGAATTCTCAAAGCACGTGAAATAGGAAGAAGGAAGTTCTTATTCAGATTTAGGAAATTGCCGTTGTCCAGTTATAATCACTGCCTCCTGAATCACTGTGGAGTCTTTCCTCCATATTTTTGTTAGATTTTTGTTTTGTTATCTCCCAAGTTAATATTGTATTTAGGTATCAAATAGCCAAAAGAAATGGAAACTTTTATCTCTGAGGAAAAAAATTTAGGAAAATGTATTCAGTGTATCTAATATTGAAATGGAGGAAACATTTAATGTAAAAAAAGCATTTTATATTGACATTAAAATGGAAAAGAGATGTAATGTTTAAAAAAATTTATATTAATTGAGTTACATCCCCATGGTGAAAAGTACTATATTAAATATAAATCCATTATGTCTTAATGTGTGGTGTTCTTTTCCTTGTTTGAGGCTATTTTTAGCTATGGACTTTTTTATATGAACTAAGTAGAGAAGGGCAGAATGCTTTACTTTAACTGATCATACTAGCTTGAAGAGACACAATCAGTGAAAAGTGAATACTGGGCAGCACTGAGGAGTCAGAGAGTCTCCTGGAGGAAAATGTGTAGTGGTCTATACTGATTTGCACACCAGCCAAATGAGACACATACCCTTTCTTACCTAGCTACTTAAAAGTACTACTAAGCCAGCCATGTCATCTGGGGGCTGACTGAAATGCAGAATCTCTGGCCCCGCTCAGACCAATTGGATCAGAGTCAGCATTTGTCCAAAACTGAAGTTAATTTGTATGCACATTATAGGTTTAAAAATACTGCACTAATGTGCTTGAGCTCAAGAATCATCATTTGATAAAACTTAGATCCTCAGGTCTCTCTTCTGGTTATGTAGTTGTGGGGTGGGACCAGAACTCGTGTTGAACAAGAGTCCTTACTCCTTGATTTGATTATGAAGTTGCAGCCAGCATAAAATAGCCCAAGCAGATCAAACTACTTTAGGATATCACTGGAAGTAGGTAGTCATGGTTTTTCCTAAAATGCATTCTTCAATCTCTAACTCTCCAGATGACACGGGGACCCTCAGTTTTCATCAGAAAATGAGCAGCAGCAACCTAAAATCTTGTTTGCAGTTCATTTCTTTAAGCATGAGCTGACCTTGATTGCATGAGAGATTTGGAAAAGGGTACAAGGAAGTAAGGAAGGACTATATTATAAAGACATGGGAACTGTATGGATTTTTTTTCTTTCTAGAGAAAGCACTGACATTCTTTATTCAAATCGGTTAGTTACATGTATAGTCAATTAAGCATGTTTGTGCATGCTTTTTTTTTTATTTTGGAAGAAGAAGGAATGGTGCAGGTTATAGATCAGTTGTCATCTCTCATAAACCAGTCCGTTGGTGCTGACATAGAGAGGCCACTGCTTCTTCCTTGCAAGTCTGAACTTTTCCATTGGGAAGGGAGAAATCAAGCCTAAAGTACATTTTAAAATCACAGAACAGTAGTTGTTTAGTCACCACCAGGTACTATTTTTTAAATGTTCACAATAAGACTACAGGCAAACATTCTTTAGTGAACATGTATTTCCAGAAATGCCTAGGAGGAATTAGAAAATTGCCATTTTCCTATTTTACCATTAAAAGCAGACAGTTCTGCTAAGGTGGCATGCAGGAATTTTGATGGATATGATGGGGAACACCTCCTCTAATAACCATTCCTCATCTACCTAGGTTGGATTATATGGTTTTGCCTGAAAAGAGCAGAAACTTATGGTAGCTCTTATCCTTTTTAGGCCACCAGTTCCTTTAGAATCAGATAAAACCTAAATCATCTTTTTCCCTAGCAAAATGTCCATGCATGCTAGCATTTTTAGATTAATTTGCAGGTTTTGCAAAGCTGAAGTCCATTCAGGATCCTTCTAATTCTAGAATTCTTTGGTTTGTGATAAGGAGTAACACCTGCTATGAGGCAGTTATAGCACAAATGGGATTGACAAGTGTCTCTCGGGTACCCAGCACAATTTGTAGGTGTTTAGTAAATGCTCTGTGTGTGTTAGCGCAATTGAATTCAGTTAAAAAGTAAAAGACTAATAGTTGAAATCAAGTGAAGAATTTAAGGTCCTTGCCAATACTTCTATTTTTCTATAATTTTTGGTAGCCAGCCTATTTCCCTAAAGCTAAAAATCATCATTTCTCTCATGACTGCTTTTATGACTCTTTATCCTTGGTTTTCCAAAGTTTGACTATGATGTGTCTTGGCATGGATTTCCTTAAGTTTTTCCTGTGTAGGCTTCACTCAGTGTCTAGAATTTATAGTTTTATGTCTTTTCTCAAATTTAAGAAGTTTTCAGCCATTACTTCTTCAAAAAAGTTTTCAACCCAAACTCTTTCCCCCTTCCTTCTAGAAGACCCATTGTCCTTCCTCTAGTGACCCAGTGTCTTTTTTTATAGTCCCATGCATACCTAAGACTTTATTTATTTATATATTTGTCTCTTTTCTCTATTGTTCACACTGAGTAATTTTTAGTGATCTATACTCAAGTTCACTGAGGCTACTGTTGTATGTTTTTAGTCCAGAAATTTCCATCTGGTTTTTTATATCTTCTATTTATTGACTGAGACTTTCTATTTTTTTTTCGTTTGTTGCAAGTGTGTTTGTGATTGCTCATTAAAGCACCTTACTGATGGCTGTTTCTAAATCCTTGTCAGGTCATTCTAACATCTGAGTCATTTCAGTGTTAAGCATCTGTGGATTATCATTTCTCATTTAAGTTGAGATCTTCCTGGTTCTTGGTATGATAAGTGATTTTCAATTAACATCTGAACATTTTGAATATTATATTAAAAAGGCTGTGGCTCAGCTGGGCTCGGTGGCTCAGCCTGTAATCCCGTGCCTTTGGGAGGCTGAGGTGAGTGGATTGCCTGAGCCCGCGGGTTCGAGACCCGCCTGGGCAGCGAGACCTCATCTCTACAATAAATCAAAAAAAAATCACCTGGGTGTGGTAGCGCATGCCTGTAATTCCGGCTACTCGGAAGGCTGAGGTGGAAGGATCGCAGGAGCCCAGCAGGCGAGGCTGCGGTGGCCGGAAGTGGCCACTGCACTCCAGTCTGGGCGACAGAGTGAGACTCCAACTCAAAAAAAAAAAAAAAAAGGCTGTGGCTCTTATTTAAATCTTGTGTTTTAGCAGGTCTCCTCTGATACCACTCCCTCAGGGAAAGGGAGAATGTCTCCTTACTGCTAGATGCAGGAAGATGTTCAGGGGGTACCTCAATACTGCGTCCCATGTGCCATCCACTGACTCTGGAGGTACAGTACCTTGTCACCACTAGGTGGACATGGAGTCCAGATGCCACACATGGCCTCCACTGGTAAAGGAGGTGCCTTTTTACTGTCAACTGGTGAGAATGGAACTGCTGGCTCTTTACCTGGCCTTCTGTGATACCACCCAGTGGAAAACCTGGGCCATCTCTTACGCCTTGGTGAAAATGCAGGTCTTGGCACTCCACTCAGTCTTTGCAGATAGTTAAGATCAGGCTGCAGGTCTTTCTGTGGTTCTTGGTTGGAGTAGAACAGTTCTTGTCTCAAAGTTTTCTGCTTTGCTAAGCTGCTTCTTTCCTAGGAAAGAACAGAAAGTTACATTCTTTCTGTAACTACTAGAAAGAATGATCATTTCTCTTTTGTTTTTCTTTCTTTTTATTATCTGGACCCATTGGCATTTCTGGGCTGCCAGCTTTTCCAGAACCCAGTTTGACACATAGGAGAAAAAGTCCAGTGAATTCACTACTGTGTTTTCCTTTGAGGTACCTGGCTATTATGCCATCTTTTAACCTTTCAGAATTATATGTTTGTCTTATACATAGTGTCCATGTTTTTTAGCTGTATTTAGTGGGAAGAATAGGAAAATGGATGTCTACTCTATCTTCCTGAAAACCTAATTCTTCCCAGTGCATATTTAGAGTGAATTTTCTGAGGTACTCCACAAGTGGAGAGATATAACACCAGGAAAATGATCAATTCACGGTGTTTACTAACAATCCTTCCGTCTGCTGATTTTCCACATCTACCCTCCCGTTCCACCCATCCAACATGTTTATTTCTGTCTTTACCCAGTAAGCTAAACTAAAGAGTATAAATAGTAATCAAGAATGCAAGTGTGTAGATAAAGCTTGAGAAAATGGGTTACGTCTATGTTTTGTCTCAACCTTGAGAGTGCAAGTGGCAGCTTCTTTAAAAACTGGCCCGGGAAATCTCAGAAGCTATATCACATGCACGCTTGTCCTATTGGGCTTTCTAGGCTCTGTGGAAGCTTATCAAACGCCATTTTCTACTTTGAATATAGGAAAGGTGATGTAGCTGTATAACTTGTAGCACACAATGAAAGGAGGCGAATAATGTTCTCTGCAATACAGCCTATCTCCTAACTAGAGGCTCACTTATCAGTCTCTTCGGTGATACTATAATAGGGATTAAGAGTCCAAGCTCTGGAATCCAACAGACCTCCCACACTTAAAGTCTGACCTTGAACAACTCACTAATTTCTTTTAATTTCTGTCTCCCTAACTGTTAAATGGAGATAATAATAGTATCAAACTCATAGGTAGATGAGGAATAAGTGAGATAATGTATATAAAAGAGTCGGCATGGTGGATGTTATTATTAATATTTGGATATATTTTCTAGATGGGGAAAAAGCCTTACTAGCATCAATTTTGTATTATATATAAAGAGAACATCTTTAGAAAGTTATATAAACAATCTCATAGCAAACTTACTTTATATTTTAATTTTGTCATTTTCCCCGAGTTCTAAGAGACCCCTAAAGACAATAACTCAGTCTTTGTTTTTCTGATTATAGTTCCACCACCACAATTATATCTTAGAAATTGATGAAATGCAAAGACATCTGTGAAGAAAAGAAAATTTGACTACACTAAAATTTTCCCAATCTTGTTTGTACCTCATGCTCTTGAGGGGAAAACAAATAAGGAAAGAAAATGTTTGTCCTTTAATAATTTTTAATGTGTTCAAGCAATAGTCTTTCCAAAGTAGCATAAGAAAATTTAGCAGCAAACTGCTCAGATCATTTAAAGAGATGCAAGAAATTTAGTTTTGCCTATTTGGGAAAATAGCAGATCTGGTTCCTAGTCCGCCAAGAAAAAAATGCTCTAAAATAGCTTATCTCACTAGAAGTCATAAAATTATAAATGACATAAAAATTGTTTAACATTTTCTTCCTATGGGGGAGTAGAGAGGAAGTCCCTATCTTGATTTACTAATTCCACACATAATTTTCACTTGTAGGCAAAAACAGGGCCAATCAATAAATGTTCACAGAATAACGTATGTGACTATCTTCTAATTTATATTAACTTCGTTTCTTAAAATATATTCTGTGACTGAGTAATATACATCTAACATCTAAATGCAA